GAGCAGTATGGAGGAATATTGACACGTTTTTGTGGACTTTTATGGACCTTTTTTTAGATCATGTCTCTCACAGTGGACATGCACCTAAAATGACCATTTCAGACCCCATCCATGATTTGTATGTGGGAGAACTTGCAACATAGCAGGGTGCTCAAATACTTATTTTCATCACTGTAGCTACTTGTTACAATTAAGCAATGCAGAATACAAACTCTGAACAAACAGGTTAAAAGCTTGAAGCAGAAAGGCTATAACAGAAGTTCCATTACTGTCAGAGAACAGGAAACTCCTATTCACACAGACTTCCCAAAATTAGACAGTAACTTGTTAAATAACATGAAAAGTTTCAACATCTGGTACAACAGTTGGATGATATCCTCAGAATTCTGTAAATCAGGCATGCCCAAAGTCGGTCCTTGAGTGCCAGTTTCTTAAAGGTTTTCAATGTTAGCTTATTCTGATGATTGCAGTTCAGTTCAAAGGAAATCTGCCGTGCTAATCAAGGGGACCTCTAAGACCTGCAGGACAGCTGCCCTTGAGGGACGACTTTGGGCATGCTTGCTACATCAAGTTGTTGTTGGCGTTGGGCTAATGGTGTGGGGAATATTTTTTCTGAAACAACTTTGGCCCCTTTTGCATCATTTGACAATCACAGCCTACATAACACTCACAAGTGATGGATGTGGTCACCAGATCCTTGTCCAATGAAGCATCATTGGCATGTAATAAAACAGTAGATTCACATTATGATTATATGCCAACAAATCTGCATGACTTTCATCAAGCTTATTCTCCTTTGTGCTGCTGCTTATTTGTCAAATTTCATTTTTGTCTATTCACTCCACACAGATTGAACTCCCTCTTTTACTTGTATGCTTTGCCAATTGCTTTGATGGTCAACCCAAGATACTTACGTTCAACCTCAACATCTTTACTTTTTTTTGGCTTTAATGCTCCACTTCTACACATCTCATTACTACACACATATAATCTAGTTTCAGTTGACTTTCACTCCTCTTGGCACAACTCAAACCTGTCCACCCCTTCCCTACTTTTACTATCACAATTTCCTCAGTATTCATCACAGTATGTTAAGGACTTGGGCCTAAACTAATCTAGTCAACCTGTTTATGCTTGATAATTGTGTGGTACCCAACTTTTTGATTATGAAAAGGTGCCAGCTATGCATTTAGTCATACTAACCAAAGGAAATCCAAACTCCATTCTATTTAATTTAATTTATGTGTCAAAATGACAGAGAGTTATACGAAGTGCCTTTCTTGTCTCAATTGTCCCCTGGACTAGTTCCTTCTATAGGCACTTTTCTCAGATGCAAGATGGGAGTTCCTCTTCAGAATTCAATTCAGAAATACTTTATTAATCCCAAAGGGAAATAAAATAAAATATGGGAGAGCCAGCTCTCAGTTGACATTAAATGCATAACTCAGGTCTGTGGCACAAAGTAGAAACTTGGGCTCAATCCCAATAAGACTGAAGGCTGTCTGGATTCAGCACAGCAGTCCTGTTCTAAGTCTGTGCATTATTCCAGCCCTGGATAGTGTTCTAACTTTTTCTCCAATGAAATGTGAGGGGATAGGAGATAGGAACAGGTGGTAGGAGCTACAATTTTAGGTATTCAGATCAAGCCCTAAAATATGTAGGGTGGTGGTCACTGAGGGACAGAATTTAAAGGAAAAGTCTGGTCTGCAATGGATAACCAATTGGTCATTATTTATACCTAAAAATAATATTTTTGCAGTAATTTAATGAATTTATTTTATTTATTTTTCTTCACGATCACTGAGTCAGGGAACGGCCATTTTTGCCAACTATAGTAACACTTCACTCCTGACATCTTCCAGCAGTGATGTCATGGTTTGGTAAACCTAGCGCCATTCTCCCTGTTTTACAAGCAAAATCAATGGGAGCTACTAGACATTACAATTATATAAGATTTCGAGAGGACTTCACCATTGAAATTTGCGAGAACTGAATTTGAGAGTTGGATGTTGTAATTCATAGGGTAAAACATTTTTATTTCACATTTCCAATTCATGATCCACCAGATCATGAGGGAGGATTTGCCATCCAACTTCTGGCCAGATAAAAAAGACGTTATTAATCAGTTTCTCTCTGCTTCGCATAGTGGACTGGTCATCACTGGCATGGATAATAGCGCATTGTGACAAACACCAGATACAGCACTGGGACTTGCTCAACAGCTGATACCACACTGTGATGTTGCAAACCGGTAGGTGGCAGTAGTGTTCTTTAACAAACATGGATGTCTCCGGTAAAGCACATTCAAATTAATTTACTCTTAATTAAAAACACTTGTCATTTATTGAAAAGTATGTAATAATTTCATACTTAAAGTACTTTCAGAAGTTTTTATTCTGAATGTCACCGGACTTTTCCTTTAAAACAATTGTTGTTCAAACGTATGAAATGGAAGTTGGGGGTCCTGAGCTGGCATTTAAAGGAAAGGTCCCCTACCTACAATATATAGTCATTCCTGCAAACAGGAATGGACTCTGCTTTTATAAGCACTCTAGAATAATCCCTGATTTAATCCCACCTGACCTCTGTCTTGCTGTCCCATGTCCTGCACCAAACCCACAGATTTCTTTACTTGACTTTCTAACACAACAGCAACGTTTCTTCCAGCTATCCCATTATGTACTCCAAAGTTGCAGTGCATCTCTCTCTGACCTTCTCTGTCCACATTAATCAGCACTTCAAAGCAAACTTTCTTATCTGCATTGCCCTTTCTCAGCATGAACAGAGCCTTTTAAACCCTCCCCAAATAAATTCAACAACTAACTGCATTTCTATGTGCTATAGTATCTTATCTATCTCTGGTAAAAGCATCTAGCCTGGTTTTAGGCATGTCTACACAACAAAAATGGTTTCATTGATGAATTCTAAGTGATTCCTAATTTGTGAGTTTGTTCCACCTCTTCTGTTTAATTTTGTAGTATCCAGATTGCTCAGTTGTCTGTGCCTCTTGATCTTAGTTTGCAACTGTCACACATGCTTTTATTTAGTCATCTCCGCCTTATTTCATAAATATGAATATACTGTGTTGCTGCTGGTTCTAGATTTATATATTCCTTTTTTTCTGTCTTCTTGTGCTTCGGTTCAATTATTAATGTGAGCAAAAGTCAAACTAAAAATACCAACTAACCTGTCTCCTTCCCGCATAAACTGAAGTGTCGCAGGCATGATACTTCATATCTACTCAAATAGAATTTTTGAAACAAAACTCCAGTGATTCATCGGACCACTGCTTCTGTAGTCATGAAGATTTACTTTACTCCTTTAGTTTTGCAAAAAATAGTCAATGTGCTGGGAACAAAGGACTTGCTGACAAAATGGATTGATCTCAGAGAATATTGTGTCACTGTTGTTGCTTCAATTTCCTCATGCATTACCTTGAGCAGAAAACCAGACCTCTCATTGGCAGAGCAGCAATATTTACACCAGCAGTATTTCAGAACAGTTTGTCAAGCTTCAGATTTTTTTTTCCATTTTTTAATTATTAAGTGCCTTTCAAAAGTATTCACACCCCTTTAACTTCCCAATTTATCAGTCTAGAACCACACGCTTTAATCGATTTAATTGAAAGTGTATTAATCATTTTAGAATTGTGCATAATTATGAAGTGAAATAAATCTAAAGTTTAATATGATGCATTTTCATTTAGCCTCCTCTGAGTAAATATTATGAGTCCACCTTTGTCTGCAAATAAAGCTTTAATATTCTGCTGTATAATTTGATCAGCTTGGCAAATTCAGGGACTGAATTTTTATGCACGTTTTTCTTTGCAAAAGAGCTTAAGCTCAGAGAACAAGGACACCCCAAGAACATAAACTCTGCGGACTTGTCAAATTTTTTTACTTGAGTTTTGTTTATCCGATTTAGTCATACTAAATACATAACACGTGACTTTGCATTGATCTGGCTTTGGGTGTATGTTTGGGGTTGTTGTCTTGCTGAAAGATGAACTTATGACCCTGCCTCAAGTCTTTTGAAACATCTAATGGGAAGACTCTGATAACTTAGCTTTTTATTCAGCTAAACTCTGACCAGCTTCCATGATTCTGCTGAAGATATGTACCTGGACCTCCAATTTACCCTAGTAAAATAGCGTGTTCAGGGAATAGCAGTTAAAGCTTTGCACTGCACGTTGTTTCTTGGTTGTGTTTAAATACATTGAGACAAGCTGCAAACATGAACCCTGCTTTGGAATCTTTTTGGTCAATCTTCAGTAAAACCTAAAATATGTTCTTCAAAAGATTCTTCCAGCTGAGCTCCAGGTCCTTCTGCAGGTCCTCCAGATACCACGGACCCCTTACTGCATCTCCTTGTTCAGCCAATGAGTGTACTGTAGTGGAACAGCCATGTCTACATGTAGGTTTGCAGATGGTCACAACAGGACTATACGGAATTTTTATTTAGTAGTGTAAAATTAATGGGGCTATACATGTATGCATACTCAAGCCACAATTTATAGATTTTTGCAAAAAAAAAAATTGGAAACCATGTTTCCATTTTTCTTTTCTTTTCCAATTATGCAATGCCTTGTGGTGTTATTTCATGTTAAATCCTCACAATGAACCACATTTAGGTTTGTGGTGATAATGTGACAAAGGGCATGAAAAAACTGGCAGCCACTGCATGTTTCTGTTCTGACTTTGTTATTTCAAACGTTTCCCTTGAATTGAGAGGAAACACACTCTAACATCTTCCCACTCAGAGCTGTTACTTCATAGCAATTATCCCTACAGGATTTTGGTGTTGTTCCCTTTAGAGAAAACTGGAGAAACACCACTAATGCTTAAATAAATCATGTCTGGGGTTGCTTTTCAATTTCATTTGGAGAAGATTGCTGGTATCTCTTTTAATCCTTCCCAAGCTCTTCAGGGTATGTCTTCTGTCTGCTTGAAAGTGACATTTTTGGTTTAGTCCTTTTCCATTGAGTCCAGCAATACAACAAGTCTAAAGGTTTCCTGCTGAGCATGCATTTTCCTAATTTAAAAGGCTGCTGCAGTCATTTTATCTTGGATTTTGCATTTGTGGACAGATTTGTACATACTTTTCCTCTGAGGAGGCGGATGACAAGATTGAATGTCCTGAACTCTCTGAAGCCAATTAAACAGGCTCCCCAGAAATGCCAAGAGACAGGCGTAACACTTTAGCTGAACCATTTGTGGAGGGGTTGTGTGCTACAGAGGATCGCCTCGCTGAAAGGCACCAAGCCTTCAACAGACCCTTCCCTTGGACGTGTCCACTTTGAGCCTGATCCTGAGCACCGACAGATGATGTTGATGTCGACAGCATCCTGCAGCAAGCCCACGAGGAAGCAGCAGCACTGTCCTGGATTGAGGTGATGGCTTCATTAGACGATGGGCCGGGACTAAAGGAATGAGCTGTGGGGTGTCCTTGTTTGGCACTAGGAACTGCAGTTCTTATGCAGCGCCCTCTCAACATGTTGTGAAAAGCTTTTTTGAACTCCTGGCTGAAGCATGGGTAAATAATAGGGTTGATGCAGCTGTTGAGGTAACCCAGCCAGAAAGTTATCTTAAAGATGGTTTCAGGGGGCTTACAAGATGGGAAGATAGACCCTGGAAAAGGGGAAAAAAGTTGTATTAGTAAGATGAATAATCATCTGCAGAAGTTTGAACATGCATAAGGAAATTATAATACAAGAATCATGTATGGATTAAGTTTTCAGGTTCAGAAATTTTATGTCTATATATCTCTATCCATATAGATAGATTGATGACTCTAAATTTCCTTTAGGTCTGAGTGTGAAGTAGCATCTATTCCAGGCTACTAAAGATAGACACCAGCCACAATGATCCTGAAGGCCAAGCGCTACTAGATTAATGGTCGGATGAATGCTTTGAACGCACATACAGTCTTTATCAATGTTTGCATAATCCTATCTTATAGAGTTGTAAACAGACTGAGGACAGTTTTTCTTGTGATCACCAAAGACATTTCATAATTATGGCTGGATATTTGTCCTCTCTAAGAAAATTTTGTTATTTAGTTGGATTTTTTTTACAATGATCCAGCTGCTAAGCACATGGTGCTCATTTGTAGATTGGGGAAAGCTCTAGTCTGTCTACTTTATTCTGTCCAAACCATTTCTGAAGACTTTTTGGTATTATTGTCTTTCTTGGTCGACAAATTGCCTCCAAGATTCAACCGTTCAGCTGACTGTTTATTTGAAAGCTTGTTTTACCTCACCGTGGCAACATTTATCCAATTATACAGTGAAATGTCACTGCCACAGATCTGGTACCTACACAGTCAAACCCTGCTAGGGGCTGGATTTTCCTAACCTGACTTCACCAGATGGATTTACTCCACATATCCATCTGGAAACCTTCCGTTGAAGTAATTTTGGGAAGGGGCAAAAATACTGGTTAGCTGATTGACCTATGTTGGTGATAGACAGGCCAAATAAACCAATCAGATCAACGAAGCATATGACGTACTAACAGAGCGATGACGAAAACACAACCACAAGCCAGGCTACTCTTGCCGAAACCAGTCGGGAGAAGAGCAAAAACATCTTTTCCTCTGAGAAAAGCCTCCAGAGCAGTGTTTTGCTCTTCTTTCAGTGAACAAATACTCTGTAATTCTGATAAAACTTGCTCGATAGCCACGCTAACGCTAGTTTTATCGGCTGAAGCCACCATGTTCTTTAAACTGAACTGTCGCGCTTCATGTGCGTCACACCTCAACCCGCCTGAAAGCCAACGCTGATTGGACGTTCGTTTGGTGAACGGCTCCAAATTTTCTTTAACTGAGAGTCTCCAAACTGATCTGCAAGTGAAACCTTGAAAGCTCGCGAGATCAGGATGGTCTCACGAGGCTAGGATTTTCCTGCTGCCTGATATCTTTTTGTAGTGAATGAAAGCAATCCTGAGCTATGTCGTAAGAACTCCTGATGGTAGAATATGTTTGTTTCGGCCGGAAAGTTTTGACCTTTTAGGTTCAAAATTGTATTAATTCTAAACTGTTTCACCACAGTTTAAATAAAACAAGGATCTGATGGAACACTTTCACTTTGATTCCTATAGAAACAACATATATTCTCCTTAGACTGGTTCTCCGTGTAAACTTAGTGTGATCTACATATGTATATCTGTAAAACTATACAATTTTATTTTTTATGGTTCTTTGCTGTCAGCGCTCTGAGAGAGATCAGCAGTTGGATGCTGTTTGTCATCTTCTCGAGATTCATTCAAGTCTTTATTCTGACTCCACTGTCTACAGCTTCTACCTGATATAAATACATATTCTAAGGCAAGATTTTTAATTCCCTGTACATTTGAACTAACTTTAATAACTGACATATTGACTGAAAACTGGTTTAAGAGTTAAATTATTATTATTATAATAGATGAAAACTAATGGTGTTTATCAGTTTTAAAGAGTCGTTTTAAATGAGTTATGCAGTTATAATGCAATTCTGGCCAAAAGCTGGTTGATAGAAAAATTAAGTCAAATAATTTTAACTTTTTAGGGGTAAAATCTCTTAGGGATTTAATTCTAGCTGATGGGCACAGTAAGGAAATGAAGAAGTAGTTGTATCTTCTCAATATCGCTGCTCGTTATAATTAAAGTGTAGGAGAGTTTTTCAGGCTGATTGTCTCAGGGCTTTAAGAGTAACTGGAAAGCATGAAAACAAATTACCCATGATTCTTATCAGCTGTAAAATAGAAAACTGGGGTTTTATTTTCCAGAGGTTTTAGTGTATAAGGGACCATAATTCATAGTCACAGATGTTTAGAAGGACTGGGGTAGCCTTTATAAAGGCTAAATGCTGGGCTTATTTATGTACTTATTAAAAAGCTTTAAAAGGTATTTAGGATTCATGTCCTGTTATCGCTGTATAAATCCAAGATGGTAAAAAAAGTATTTTTTTGTTTCTATTTTTAACTTGGTACAAAAACAAAATAATAGCAAAAACATTGTTTTGCAATTATCTCTACTTTTTACTCCTTTCATTTTAAATATAGGCTCGTTTGTTTTGGTTAATGTAAGCCCATTTTCATTATAACCTGTTGGAATTTAAGAAAAATAAAAAAACATGAAAAATTATTTATTTTATCCAGACAATTCATTTCTTTGTGGTTGGACTTGGTGCTGCACCATGATAAATAGTTTATCAAGATGATACAAGGTTAAATTTTACAGTGCTACCATTAGTTATAAAACTAAGACAATTAAGTCTAAGGAATTATCATGCAGAATTGTATAAAAATGTTCCTTTAATAGGCTACTTATTAAAGCTTCTGTCCTTAATTTTTCTTTTTCCCTGCAAAAAATTTGTTTTATACTTTAAGTATCTTTAAAAATTGTACTTGTACAGTTTTACTTGAGTAAAACACTATAAACAATACCCTAAGGTCTACAAACGTTTTTTTAAACAGTAGGATTTCTACTTTTACTTGAGTAATAAACATTAATACTTTTGACACATGAAAAACAGACAACTGCAGTTTAGAAACTGTAACATGTTAAGGGATTTCTAAACCCAAAAGAAGATTTTCTCTTAATTTGCAGCTTTTGCAGGTTCAATATTTGTCAGGCGGTACAATTCCATGATGCAAAAATTCCTAAATGTTTTGGTAGATCTTTCTATAATAGCTGAAATATATAAAAAAAATCAAAATAGATGGACAAATAGATGCTGGACATACTCTTCTGTAGGTGATAGATGGGCAGATCAACAAATACAGAGGCCAATTCATGCAATGATAGATGGAGTTAAACCCTGTTAGATCAATAATTGGATGACAGATACATGCACATAGATCTTTTTTAACAGCATCTGAATGAAAGAACTCACTGGTTTTAATCATATTTCAAGATAGAGACAGAGGGACATAATATAAGGATAGGAAAATAAGAATATTTACCCCATGTTAAATTTTCCTACCCATCCAAAAGTGGAAAATGACATTGACCAAAAAAAAAATTTGATTAATCCTGCAAGGGCTCTTTGTCACTTTTTGTTGCAGTTTCAAAATGCATGTCGTATTTTGCAGAATCTTATATAAAACCCATCCAGAAACAAGAAGTCAAGTCAAAGCTACATCTTGCAATACCAAATAGGCTATATTTTCTACTCAAAATTCATAAATCTGAGTTATTTTCTAGGCTTTTGATTCCTCTATAATCAGTGCTTCACAGGAGTATTATGGACTCTTTGATGTTCAGAAGATGGAGCTGCCCAGTGTGATGAGCCTTGTAAACACTTTGTAAGGAACATATAGAAGTGGTGCTTCTGCAATAAATCTTCAGCTTCATTGAAAGGTGTGCCATCAATAACTGCTACAGCTTTTCATCTGCAGAGTTTTAAACATAAAAGAAAAGACTGCAGTTTTTCAAACCTTCACCCTATGAATGTCAGACAATCATCGCCTCAGATTTGAGTTCTGCGCCGTGAGCTGTGAAGGTCTGTCTCAATTGAAATGCATAACCATCCTTATATGACCGGGCTCCCTTGGGAGTCAATGGTGACTCTGGAAGCCTCCCTGGCATTGCAGTCCATTAAACCACATGCTTGTTATCTATAATGGCTTTCTCTTAGGCGAGAGCAATAGTTGGGTTATTCAATTTCATCTCACAGAAGAAGGCTATTCTGCTGTTTTGTTTGCTCTATTTGCTTTCTTGTAATTTAATTTCTTTGTGTCCTTTCAGAGAAGTGATAGACTCAGTTCGGTCAAGACTGGCGAGTCAAAGAAAGAGGTCCTCCTTGTAGTTGTGTGCACAACAAACTAATTAGCAAGGTGCACGGTTAAGCCTTGACAACAGCTGATGCTTAAGTATTAATTTATGCTACAGCTTTGTATGTTAAAGGTTTAATCAGAAAAACACAAAGCTGTCTCTATCAGTAGGTGCAGGAATTTCAAAACAAAGGCAAAACTCCTGGTTTAAGTGGATTATACAAGACTGAATTCAAGCTTAGAAGTCTGAACAATGGGAAACAGCAAAAAGGAGCAAAACATGCTAATTGCTTTACCCATTTATCAGGCTTTCTGTCACTAGCAAACAAAGCTGGCAGTACTGGAAATGAAACAGCTCCTTATTTGGAACACCTTGTTAGTACAGGGTTGGATCAATTTCCTTTTCCAGAACGGCTGTATTTCGTGTGCCTTAGATTCACAAGATGTCTTTGGAAATCCTCAGAGATTTTGATCTGAATCAACTGGGCAACATCATATATTTACTGTTTCCCTAAAACAGTTTTCTCTTTCCCAAACATCTTAAAGCTGCACCATTAGATTGGGATTTGGTAACTTTTGTGGCTGTTGGGGTAAATTGAACCAGTTTGAGATGATTTGAGCTTTGTGAAATGGTGCAATATCCTGCAATAAGTAGCATTTAGTAGATGGGTACAATTAGGTCATCAAGGGATGAACGAGGTCAGCTTTAATACTCAGGAATATGATACAGTAATTGATGTTAACAGAAGTGGTCTTCTGGTGATGTAGGAAATCTGATTCAAGATTCAATAAAGGTGTAAAGAGAGAGTGTTTCTCATACCCTGGCAGCAACCAGTCTCTCTTTGGTCTCTTACTGTACCAGTCTTCCCAATATCTGCCTAATCTCTTCTTCTGAATTTTTAGCAGGGATGTTTAGTTACAGCCAGCAGGTAGATGATCATCTTTGCAGCTATGGGACATAAACCTTTCTTGAGTCTTTTTTTTTTCTAATCAGAGGTGGGTACAGTATCCATAAATTGAGCTTAAAGGAATAGTACACCCAAAACATGATTAGCCTTCATTTTCTACTCACCCCCATGCTGAACAACACTCTGGAGTACTTTTTTGATATCT